AATCTAATGCTAAATAATAACTATAAGTTTGGATCTAAAACTGCAGAGTTGTTTCTATTTTAAGAAAAGCTCTTTTAAAATACCTGAAATATTTTTAGGAGTAAAAATAGTTTCCTAATTTTATTGTATTTCAGTAATATAAAATGCATGCAAATAGTGTGGTTAAAAACTAACTAATTCAAAACATGTTCAATGCTTAAGGAAATATCTTAATACATTTGATTATACTTTGGAGAAGAATTTATTGCTCTAATACCGTGCTTCTCAAATAGTGGGGGGCCCCCTTTGGGGGCGCGGTGCGATACCTGGGGGGGCGCGTGTGATCCTGGGGAACAGGCTTTTTTTTGGCCGTACTAGTATAAAGTGTAATTGCGCACAGTAGGCGGCAGTGGCGCTCTCATTGTTACGTCTGTCACGTTTGCGACAGTGCAACATTTTACGACTTACAAGACAACAGGTTTGCCTTGGTTAGCAGTGTTAAGTCAACAAAAAGCTCCGACTGCGTTCTGTCTATGGCCTCCGTTATTCAACAACCCCCAACATGAAAAAGTTTTTCACAGGGATGAAAAGAAAAGCAGAGAGAGACAAAGATAATGAGACAACAGAAAGTCAACCGAAAGCTAAGAAGAGGAAATACGACGAAGCGTATTTAGCGCTTGGCTTCACTGTGACTACAGTTGGAGAAGAGGAAAGACCGGTGTGTTTGCTGTGTCTAAAAATGCTCGCAGCGGACAGCATGAAGCCAAATAAATTAGCGCGTCACTTAAATACGTTACATCCCAATCACGCCGATAAGCCGCTAGAGTTTTTTCAGCGAAAAAAATGTTATGCAGAGATGGATAGTCACGGTGGGGAATGGGGGGGGCGCGAATAGTTTTCTTCTTGCTAGGGGGGACGTAACGGAAAATAATTGAGAAGCACTGCTCTAATAGCAGGCAGACTCCCTGCGCCTGCAGACCACCTAAGGGAGTGCAACACTGTTTATCTAAAACCCTCCTTACAGATTTATGTAAGTTCACCTTATCATAAAGCCTACACAAAATGTTCATGCTAGATACAATATTTCATATGTCTAAAGGTTAATGTGTCTATAATTATGTTAACTAGACTTATATTTTCAACAGTTGAAATGAACTTAAGCTTTTCAGCAAACTGAATTATCTGGAATTATTTCCCTAAAGCTATAATGTAAAAATAAGTAACAATGTCATGTTATCTTCTCACAGATCACATGCATAAGCTAGAGCAGGACCAACATCCTTACAATTTGCTTGATGGTATAATGTCTATGTCATTCTATGACATTATACCATCAATATAAGTTATATTCAGAAGTGCTTCTGGGAACAATCGTCCAGCAAGTGAACTTATAATGACTAACTAACCTGAAGTAATTAAAATTATGAGAAAACAGCATTGTGTCATGCTCTGGGTGGATCTACATAAAGCATTTCAATTCCCTCCAGACAAAGAAACAAAAACCATAAAAAGGTCAAAGTCTAAAATGTTCATTCAATCTTAAATGTCAACAACTTTCCAACTTTGGTTGAGTTTTCTCAGAGCAGTTTGTGGTTCAACCACTACAAGAAACTGTTTTTATCTCTATTAACAGTTTGCGGCTTCAGCCGACGTGGTAGTTTAGCTGAACTCACTGTGGTGCACTGAGGGCACTAAGGGGACTGAGGGCACTAAGGGGACTATGGGGACTGAGGGCACTAAGGGGACTATGGGGACTGAGGGCACTAAGGGGACAGAGGGCACTGAGGGGACTCAGGACACTAAGGGGACTGAGGACACTAAGAGGACTGAGGGCACTAAGGGGAGATAGAGTGTTTAGTTTTCACCTCCCGTAAACATTACAGTGAATGAGCATACAAGGTTTCGTATGTTTTCCTTTGTTTCTTTCTTTGGTCTTGGAAGATTGAGTCTCCGCCTCGGTAGTAGAAAGAGATGAATAAAGTAACTATGCAACTCTGGGTTCCTCAGAGAGCGGATCCTAATTTGTGCCTAATGCAGTGGATTTCTTGCTCTCTGTCTGCAGATGTATTAAAGATTGTTTTTGCTCCCTGACTTTTGTCTGGACCTCAGTCTCACAAGCCCTTCTGCATGCTTTCCTCCTGCTGATTCTTGGTCGTTGACCTGCTGACCTCTTTATCAGCCCTTCATGTCTTGGACTTTGGAGCAAGTTTTTGACACCATTAAATCATTTTTGCTGCCTCATCCTGGGTTTCTACCATGTTTTTCCCTCTTCTACCAAATGATGATTTATTCCAGACATTTCACCAGCAAAGCATAATAAAGTAAGAATTTCATATTTCTGAGTGCTTAAACGATAAAGAGAGAAAAAAGGTGTGAGTGGTTCTGAGCCCTAATGAACTGCAGAGTTGCATGAGTTCAGCTAAGCTACAAAACTGGCTAAGATAAAGCATGAAGGATAAAAACAGATAAAAACTGTTTCCTGTTGTGCAGGTTGAACGTCACTGTTCCCACGAAACTGAATGAAATGCTGGCTGCATGTCAACATTTACGGATCACCTCATAAACTTCAGGGACTGTTTTGTTCCTGCAATGTAGAAGAAATAGTTTCATGTAGACAAGTGGAGACACCATTTTTCTCTAAAGAACATTTTTCCACACATTCATGAGTATCTTGCTATGAACAAATATCAGCCTTATTATTGTTTTTTACTGCTACCTATTTAAATCAAGGGTTAGAATTAAATCATTTTATTTTAAAGTGCCTGTTGCATCGTTCTAATAGGCTGTTATTCACTTTCAGTATTTAATGAATTTAGTCTAAAATCCACATTGTCCAGGGTTCCTCCTGCCTCTCATTGGCTGCTGGAAATAAAACCAGGACATGGATGGATTGTCAAATGTTTCAGACAACCTGCATAAAGTGAAGAGGGCGACTGGCTCCACACATCACTGAATAAACCCGTAGAAAATCACAGTGGTGGCAGCACTGAGTGTTTTCTTGACTTTAGCAGGAACAGAAAAGTCGAGTTAATGAAAACGTTGCTGTTAAGTGAAGAACAATCCTGGAAGAAAAACCTTTGACTTCAAATTACAGAACCACCTGAAATGATCCAAAGTATGAACCGGCTGAAGCCTGAGGCACAAACTGCCAGTAAAGATAAAACATTCTTCCTGTTAAACTGGATGAACCACAAACTTCACTGAGGAACTGAACCAAAAGTTGGAAAAGGATCAACATTTAAAGATAACAAAGGACTTTTGTTCTTCAGGGATGGTTTTGGTTTTTCAGTGGGTGAAGAAAGAATGTAGTTTCCTTCAGACACACCCTGTGCATAACAACACCGTGTCGTTTCCTGCTGAATGGCTCTGATTATCTTCCTGCTGAAGAGAAGCTCCTGCTGAGCATGATGGAAGGTTAGCTGGCCTTTGACTAGACCTTTTTAAACTTTGGGAAATCTTTTATTTGCTCAGTCTGCTCTAAACATCTGCTGTGCTCCTCCATGATGCTGTTTTCTGCCCAATAATCTTTGAACCTCAGCAGCATCACAGAGCAGCCAGAGTAATAGTGAGATTAGATTAGATTAGATTAGATAACACACAGCTGGGCTGCAGTTCGTTAACAATCATGAAGCAACTTGTGAAGGCAATGTGTTGCTCACATGGGAATAAATATTTCTTTTAGTCTGTTATTTTGTTTCCTTTTAAATCCTTAAATCACTCTGTATTCCCTTGTTGCTGAAAATATACTCTACATAAAATGACCTTTACTTTAACCTTTGCACACCACACTGTTCAGTTTCTTATTTGTAAAGAAAATGTTTGAAAGAAACTGTACAATAGAGATGTTCACCCAATTATTAACAGTTTTTGGTCTTTAATATTTGCAGTTTTCCAGTCTGCCTTCCTCCTGTCAGTGTTGGTTTCATTCTCATTTTAATAAATCTGTATAGAATAATTAATCTAGCGTCTAGATTTTGATGTATGATAGCAGTTGTTCCATTTCAATCTATTTATTCTGATATGATGAAATCTTTGAATCTTAAATGTTTGTTTCTTTGGAGTTTCACGTATTTAGTAAAATTGTCCAAATGTGAGATGTTTTCCATCCTGTCTCTCATGATGTCCTGCTGTTGCTTTGCTGCTGTCTGAAGTTTCTGCATTTACAGTTGAACTGGAACAAAACTCCCATCGAGCCTCAGGGTGATGAACGGGTGATGAACGGGTGATGAACGGGTGATGAACGGGTGATGACTGGGTGATGAATGGGTGATGAACGGGTGATGAATGGGTGATGAACGGGTGATGAACGGGTGGTGAACGGGTGATGAACGGGTGATGACCGGGTGATGAACGGGTGATGAATGGGTGATGACCGGGTGATGAACGGGTGATGAACGGGTGGTGAACGGGTGATGACCGGGTGATGAATGGGTGATGACCGGGTGATGAACGGGTGATGAACGGGTGATGACCTGGTGATGACGGGTGATGAACGGGTGATGAACGGGTGATGAACGGGTGATGAATGGGTGATGAACGGGTGATGACGGGTGATGAACGGGTGATGAATGGGTGATGAATGGGTGATGACACGTCTGTCCCTCCTCTCCATGCAGGCAGCGCCGTATGAAAGATGTTTATTTCCTTACAGGTTTTTTATTTTAAAGCAAGATTGTAACTTCAAGCAGAGTGTGAAAATAATTAAAAGCTAACGTAACACCATCTTGTTTCTGTGCTAAAGCATATTATTAATTTATCAAGTTTCATTTAAATAGCTGAGATAAACCACTGAAATAAAACTGATGGTTTAAACTGAATAAAACTTGAATCACTGACAGGTTTAACACATTATTTTGTTCCTGTTTGCAGCTGAAGGGTCTCTGGTTCTTTCTGGATTTATCCATACAAAAATATAAGATATATATTTTTGGATTATCTGTGACCTCTGACCTGTAGAGCCGCTGGAGGTTCTGCAGGTCGTTTCTAGACAGAACCGACATGAAAGATGAGTCGAGGTCCACTCCTGGTTTTCCTGTTAACTTTTTATTATGCTTTAAAAAAATTAAAAGACAAAGGAGGTGGTGATCAAAGAAAAAGAAAAAAATATATATCCATATTCAAATCTCTTTATACGTCTCTATTCATATATGATTACCAAAGCAAAGAAAGAATCCCGTAGTGCTGAAGTTCAATATAGACTTTCATTATAACAAAATAGGCAGTTTACCGAAGGTTAAATATCTGTCAAAATCTCTTTCACCTGCGAGCGCCGGCAGGGGGCGCTGCAGGCGCAGCCACAACAACACGTGGTAAGACACTGACGCTGCTGACGGACGTCGCCACTGCCAGGGCCACGCTTCGGCCACAGGGGGCGCCGCTGAGCAGCTGGGGTCGCCATGGTAACGAGGAGAAACCAGAGGAAGAGAAAAAACTTAAGATTTAATTTAACGCAGTTTGATAAAAAATAAAAATAAAAAATTTAACGCAGTTTGGAGGATTTCATGTCAGAATGAGGTTAACTGGTTTTAAAAAGAAATATGTTGATTTTACTGTAAACTTTGTAAATATTTCTATTTTTATGTTCTTATAATCTGTAGCAGCTATAATTAAATTCTGATAAAGTCTTTAAACATTTTTAATAATTCATGATGTGCAACTAAGCTTGTAAAATAATGGTTTTTATATTTATGATTTTTTTAATCCTAAGGCAAACATGTTTTTTTCCTTCCTGAGTTTTTGGTTTTAATTATATCATTTTATTTCTAACTGAAAATAAACATGAAAATAAAAAAGTTAGTAAATCATTTCTTTGAAACTTTTAAAATTTAAATTCAGAATCCTGGAGAATTTTTAGAATGAAAATTAAATTGATTTTATATGTGAACTTTTAAATGTCATCCAATCCATAATTTTCTGTTTTGTATTAAATGTTTATGATTTTTGTTCCATCAGCTTTAATTCAATTATTGAAATCTTTTAACAATTTGTTCAAATTTATGCGTTAATTTATGTTCTGTTTTTCCTTTGGCTTCATAAAAAATTTCCATAACAGATTTTGGCACAATTTTAACAAGACTAAAGAAATATATAATTATTAATAATATTTTGTTAAAAATAGGATCATTTTTTTATTCTAAAAACAAAATCATTAAAATTTTCTTTCTTTTTCTTTTATTTTTTTACTAAAATGGGAAAATATTTAAAATGTTCTTTTAATTTCTCCCTTTCAACACCTGAATTTTATGGTATGAAATGTTCTGTTATTAAAATAAACGGGTTTATTTTACTCTGACGATAAAATTTGTAAAAATAAACTGATGATTTTGCTATTTTGTTTGATTTTTGGCACTAAAGTTTATTTAGAACGTTTTTCTGTGCATTTAGTCTTAAATTTACCAAAAAAATATGTTAGTTTAAGTTCATGTGAATTTGATTGAGTCTAATAAACCGTTAATCATTTCTGTTTGTTTTAATTTATGAGTTTAAAATCAGCTCGTTTTTCGGGGAGGATTTCTTTGGCGCCCTCTGGTGGCAGAGCGAAGACCCTGCAGCTTCCTGACAGACGTCCTGCAGCAGAGGAGCGAAAATGTTCAAAACTAAACATGAATCAATAAAAAAAGACAGAAAAGCTGTGACAGAAGCTGTGATGTCAGACGCTGAGGTGAAGGGGCTGATGGGAAATCAACGGGTTTAAACCGACATGCTGTTAAAGCTCAAACGTGCAAAGTTTTGCTTTTTGTGTCTCTGATTCTCCGACCCGACAAACGGAGCCGGCTGGAAAAAACCCACAAAGAAAACAAGAAAAAGGAAGAAAATCTGCTTCGTACGTTTCCGAACTCTCCTCCGAAGTTCTCCGTCCTTAAACATTAAGGAGCTGTACCGTGCTGAGTGTGATGTCACTTCCTGTGTGCTTCCAAATCAGGCGGAACAACATGGAGCCGTCTGCTGATCGCTGAGGGATGACGGATGGATGGATGATGGACGGATGACGGATGGATGGAGGGTGAGGCTGCCGTCTGCAGCTGGACTCTTCTTCCAGAATAACCCAAGTGATGAAGAGGAGCGGCGGCGCCTCATAGCTTCTCCTTGGACAGAACCCAGATGAACGGACCCGACTGATCCTCGATGATCTGCTTCACCTGATCGTAGATCTCCTCCAGCGTGTCGCCCTGGACAACGGCTGCAGGAGGACAGAGGAGGCGGGTCAGCGGTCCAAAACACAGCAGAACCAATCAGAACCAATCAGAACCTTAAAGGGGATAAATCATGTAAAATCAACTTCCAGGCATTTTGAAGAAATCCTTCAATCTCCATGGCAACCACCTGCCCAAAACACCTGGGGGGACCAAGCCCCGCCTTCAAGACGCAGCTCCTTCAGACTAGCCAGCAGCAATTAGCAGAGCTCATTACAGGAGCTGCTGCTCAGAGCATCACTGGTAAAAACATTAAAGGGTTAATAGAGGAGCCATGTTGGGACTTCCTGGAGGCGGAGCTTCAGGAAGAACCAGAGTTTTTAAAGAGACAAGACCCAATTTCAAGGTGTTAAAATTACAAAATCAAATTTCTATTGAGTCATTTTTGATTTAGAGCATTTTTATAGCAGCTGAAGGAAAAAGTTTCTTGATTATGTTGTAAAAAAACACAACACTGGCCCTTTAAACACAATCCTCCAATTAAAGCCTGGGAATCGTTTCCTCCATCTGCAGAAACTAAACGTTCTGGTTTCATCTGGATTTATAATGTTCTGAAGAACTGGACCGCAGGTACGGGTCAGAACCACCAAACACAGGTTAAGCAGACCTGGTTTCAACCCAGTGGTTCTGAACCCAGGTGGTTCTGAACCCAGGTGGTTCTGAACCAGGTGGTTCTGAACCCAGGTGGTTCTGAACCCGGTGGCTCCGAACCCAGGTGGTTCTGAACCCAGGTGGTTCTGAACCCAGGTGGTTCTGAACCCGGTGGTTCTGAACCCAGGTGGTTCTGAACCCAGGTGGTTCTGAACCCGGTGGTTCTGAACCCAGGTGGCTCTGAACCAGGTGGTTCTGAACCCGGTGGCTCCGAACCCAGGTGGTTCTGAACCCGGTGGTTCTGAACCCAGGTGGTTCTGAACCCAGGTGGTTCTGAACCCGGTGGTTCTGAACCTGGTGGTTCTGAACCCAGGTGGTTCTGAACCCAGGTGGTTCTGAACCCAGGTGGTTCTGAACCCGGTGGTTCTGAACCTGGTGGTTCTGAACCCAGGTGGTTCTGAACCCAGGTGGTTCTGAACCCAGGTGGTTCTGAACCCGGTGGCTCTGAACCCGGTTCCGACCCGGTTCTGACCTGTGAAGTGCTCGGTGAACTCCTGCTCCAGCTTGGCGGCGCGGTCGAATGTTTTCCTTCCCTGTTCGTCCGTCAAACGTTTGTTCATCTCCCTGCAGGAAGAGCAGAACCGGGTCAGCGCTGGAGAGAACTCCGGATCGGATCGGTGAAACCGGGTCGGACCGGACCGGGCCACTCACATGATGTTCTCCACGGATTTGGGTTTGATGAAGATGGCGATGGGGTGCAGCAGCGCCAGCTGCAGCCTCTTGATGGCGTTGCCGGACACGTCCAGGATGCAGTGCTTCCCCTGAACAGAACCAGAACTCAGGCTCCGCTCCGGGCCGCGGCTCGGCCCGAAGCGGGGCGGTTCCGTACCTTCTCGGCCACCTGGCGGACGGACTGCACGCTGGTTCCGTACAGGTGGTTGTTGTACTGGCCCGCCTCGATGAAGCGGTGCTCCTGGATGTCCTTCTCCATCTGCTCCCGCGACGCCACGAAGTGGTAGTCCCGCCCGTCCACCTCGTAGTCCCGTTTGGGCCGGGTCGTATCTGCAGCGGGACACAGGCACAGCCGTTACCCGGGTCCGATCCGGTCCGCTCGGTCGGGTCAGAGGAGCGGCGCCGGCCGGACGGACGTACGCGGGACGCAGGAGCCGAATTTATCCGGGAATTCGGAGATCAGGTCGTCGTTGATCCGGTCCTTCATCGGGCCCAGGATGATGACGGGTCGGGTGTAGTTCACTGCCAGAACAGAAAACCCGTTTCTGAGCAAAACATTGTGATTTTGAACATTTTATGCTTTTATTAAAAGACTAAAGAGTAAAATATATGCTCAGATTTTAATCTAATTGTTTTATTTCTATGTTTTTACTGACTTGTCCAGCAGGTGGCAGCATCACCGTCTGTTCGACTCTAATCTACATTATTTTGATTTAAATACAATTAAGAACATTTAAACTTGACATATAATTAATCCTGAAACTTGAAATAGGACATTTTCCAAAGATATTTGTAATCCTCATTTTCTTAATTTGATTAAATATTTTAACTTTTTTATATATTTACCATGTAACCAATGCATTATTTATTTATACTAAAATATAGTCATCCAACCTGTAAGTAAAAAATAAATCTATTTAGGTTTCATTAATTTAAACTTCACTGAAATATTTTCATTTTTCTGTTATGTAGTTTATCAAGTTCTACATACATATATTAGTAAAAAATGCTTTAATATTTAGTATCCAGTAATAATATCAAATTGTTTTTCTGGATATTTTAATAATAAAAGTTCTTTGGATTCTGATCAGAAATATTTTTATTATCATCCCAGTGAATCTGGATGAGGAGGAACCCAGGAGAACCGCCGAGGTTCTGATCGGTTCCGAGTTAAATCTGTGAATCTTTCAGCTGCTGAAGCTTCAATCTGAATCAGCTGTCAGTGGTCGGGCCGGTTCTGGAGAACTCACCTTCCTGCTGAACGACGGGTTCGTACGACAGAACGTACTCATCCTGCCCACCTGAGGACAAACAGACACGTTAGGAGAAGAGGAGGAACAGCAGGAGGAAGAGGAGGAAGAAGGGGAGGAGGAGGAGAAGAGGAGGAACAGCAGGAGGAAGAGGAGGAGAAGGGGAGGAGGAGGAGGAAGAGGAGGAAGAGGAGGAGGAAGAGGAGGAGGAAGGGGAGGAGGAGGAGGAAGAGTAAGAGGAGGAAGAGGAGGAGAAGTGGGTGCTGAGGGACGAAGGCTCAGCAGGAGAAAACAGCCGACCGGCTTTCAGGAAGAAACGTTTAAATCAATAATCAGAAACAAAAACTTTACAAAGTTTTAAATAATGAGTAGAGTTCAGGTTAAAACGAGGAAGTGGAACCGGAACCGGACCCGATTCCATCAGGTTTAATGTTCTGGTTCAGATTCAGGTTCCGTCTGTGGTCTTCAGCTCAAGACACGATCCAGAATCATCACAACGGTACCACCGGGTCGGTTCTGAAGCTGCCTGAAGGTCTGACCCCAGTAGAACCAAAGAACCAGTTCAGACTGGGACTGGTTGGGTTAATAAACCAGTTTAAATATGAATGTGATGAAATATGAAACTGTTCAAATAATCCACATCAACATGATAATGTTGATGGGGCGTCTGATTGGCTGAATGCTACCAATCAGCAGGTAGCATTCATTAAGCTAATGGGTTAGCCGTTATAAACCAATCAGCAGGTAGCATTCATTAGTGCTACCTGGATGGATCAATAATCTCAATCTGAGGTGTAGATTAAATATTTAAAGCCCCACAGACAGAAAACTGAAATCATAAACTTTCAATTTAAAGGTCCAGAACACTCTCTTCCAAAAACCCAGAACTTCAGAAGCAGAACAGAACCAGACTGAAGAAACTTTAATTAAACAGCACAGAGCTGTGATGTCATGCTTTATCTGTCCAATCAGCAGGTAGCATTCGTTAAGCTAATGGGTTAGCCGTTATAAACCAATCAGCAGGTAGCAATCGTTAGGCTAATGGGTTAGCTGTCATAAACCAATAAGCAGGTAGCATTCGTTAAGCTAATGGGTTAGCCATTATAAACCAACAAGCAGGTAGCATTCGTTAAGCTAATGGGTTAGCTGTCATAAACCAATAAGCAGGTAGGATTCGTTAAGCTAATGGGTTAGCTGTCATAAACCAATAAGCAGGTAGCATTCGTTAGGCTAATGGGTTAGCTGTCATAAACCAATAAGCAGGTAGCATTCGTTAAGCTAATGGGTTAGCCATTATAAACCAATCAGCAGGTAGCATTCGTTAAGCTAATGGGTTAGCCATTATAAACCAATCAGCAGGTAGCATTCGTTAAGCTAATGGGTTAGCCGTCAGGCTTCAGATCGTTAGTGAACTGTCGGCAGAACGGCGGGAAAACTTACGGTAGCTACTTTCACTATCACTGGCGTTAGACGTCACATGTTCTGAAATCACAGGAAACAGCCAATCAGACGCCAGCGTTCCCACAATGCTTTGCTCCAAGCCGGCCTCGGCGGCGCAGTTTTATGAGTTCACAGAAATATGACGCACAGATGGTAATAGAATCTGCTGCCTCACGTTTAACAACCAACCAATCAGACGCATTCAAACTGAACCTTTCACAATAAAAGCCTTGACAAAAATTCAGATCATTTTTCTAAAACAAAACATCCGAGCTCTGTTGGACCCGCCCAGCAGCTCAGAGACCCGATGGCCCGGTCCATGAAGCCGGGTCGGACCGCAGGTTCTGGTTCCAGATCAAACCACTGGGGGAACCGGGAAGGTTCGGTTCTGTAACGTCCAGCTGGACAGAACCAGGTCTGAACTCTGATCCAGCTCTCTGATTGGTCCATCACTCAGCGGTCCAACACGCTCTGGTTCTGGTTCCACTCTGCTATCCTTCTGGGTTGGAAAGGTTCGGTCCAACTAACAGCTGGAGCTTCCCAAAGCAGCAGAACCGATCTGAACCCAGATGTAACTTCCGGGTCAGATTCTGATGGAACCAAGAAGTTTCTGCTCCATCTGGGAAGCGTCAGAACATTTCCGTGGTTCTGGTTGGTTCTGGTCCCAGACTATTATTCCCTCTGGTTCTGGATGCTGTGCAGCTGGATGGATTTCTGCTCTGACTTTACTGCAGTTATGACACTCTAACAAGATGCTCTTCTTACACCTGGAGCAGCTGATTAGCGTCTCAAAAGCTCAAATCATCAAATGAACTTTGACCCTAAAGCCCAGAGGAATGAAAAGCTTCATGGAGCTTCAAGGAGGAAGTTCAGAGCATCGCTAAGACCTTTACATTTATTCAGTGGCTGATCTTATCTTCACCTCCAGCATCTCTCTGACCAAACAGAGAGAGGAGCAAAAGCAAAGGAGCTGGATTAGCAGAGCTGCTAACAGCTGGTGGAGTCATCCAGCCCGTCACTGTGGAACATCATCTCTGCTGGCTGGATAAAGAGCTGTTAGCACGTTAGCATGAGGCTGCCATGCAGTCTTCAGTCAGAGGCATCTTCAGATTCGCTGTGAGACTGACTGCTACAGGAGCTCCTTCCAGCCCACAGCATCACCGACCACAACGACTCTGAGGATTCTCAAACTTTCTGACTTTCATGTTCTCTCATAAATAAAGTATTTTTGAATTTGAGTTATTGAATTTTGAAAAGGTCCAGGATGTTGGACAAAACGAAGCGCTGATGAGAAACAAACGGATCCGTGAAGCTCTGAGGATGAGGAGGATGAGGAAGGTCTCAGCCGGCGTCTCCACCAGGACAGAAACTAAAAAACATTTTCCTTTCAGAATCAATTTTGAACTGCAACTGAAAAAACCCTGAAAAACTTACCAAAAACATCTATAAAATATTAACACTTTCCACTTTTTATTTATTAATAGTTGATTATTTACGTTTTTTCTTGTTTTGGGGTCTCAGCTGGAATTCAGAAAGAAAACTAAATTCACAGATTTAATCCAGATTAATAAAGAAATTACGGATCCATTTCTACTAGTTTTTTTTTTAGCTGAAAGGACGCCAAACTGCGGGACGACCTGCAGAGGGACGACCCGCAGAGGGACGACCCGCAGAGGGACAACCTGCAGAGGGACGACCCGCAGAGGGGACGACCTGCAGAGGGACGTCCATCTGCAGGACGCCAAACTGCGGGACGACCTGCAGAGGGACGACCTGCAGAGGGACGTCCTGTAGAGGGACGTCCTGCAGAGGGACGACCTGCAGAGGGACGACCTGCAGAGGGACAACCTGCAGAGGGACGACCCGCAGAGGGACGACCCGCAGAGGGACGACCCGCAGAGGGACGACCTGCAGAGGGACATCCCTCTGCAGGTCGTCCCTCTGCAGGACGCCAAACTGCGGGACGACCTGCAGAGGGACGACCTGCAGAGGGACATCCCTCTGCAGGACGCCAAACTGCGGGACGACCTGCAGAGGGACGACCTGCAGAGGGACGTCCCTCTGCAGGACGCCAAACTGCGGGACGACCTGCAGAGGGACGACCTGCAGAGGGACGTCCTGCAGAGGGACGTCCTGCAGAGGGACGACCTGCAGAGGGACGACCTGCAGAGGGACGTCCCGCAGAGGGACGACCTGCAGAGGGACGACCTGCAGAGGGACGTCCCTCTGCAGGTCGTCCTGCAGTGGGACGGCGGCCTGGACAGGCGTCGTCCCGGTGGAGACGCTCGGCCCGCCGCCTGCAGCGTTTCTACTCACTGTGGCTCTTGCTGGTCGGGTCGTCGTTGTTGTCCTGCGGTCGGCAGAAACAGAAACAACCAGAGAAACACAGAGTTACTGAGATCCGGCGGCAGACGAGAGAGCAGAGGGAGCGCAGCCGGTCGGCAGGGCGGCCATGTTGGCTCCCCGCAGGAGCAGGAAGGAGGGACTTCCTGTCTGGGGTTCTGGATCGGTTTTAGCCGTCGGCCCAATCTGAGAGGTTGTCGGGAGCTTAGGGCTGTTGCCGTGACGACCGCTGCGCGTGCCGCCGCCAGCTGATCTCTCTTCCTGCCGCGGAGCAACGGGCCGGCGGGGACTTACGGTCGGCGTCGCTGGTCTCCTGCTCGCTCGGCTCTTTGCTCTTGTAGAAAGGAAACTTTCGGGTAAAGAGGTTCTTTTTACGCTTGTCATTGACGGACTGCTGAGGAAGAGGAAGGGCGTGAAAACAACACGGGAGAGGAAGAGGGCTGGACACGCTGACGACAGCGCAGAGGTCAAAGGTCAGGCCCAGGGCCACATCCAGGTCCCGGAGCCAGAGGTTCTGGTCCCGGCCCAGTAACTGGTTCTGTTAGAGCTTCTGAGGCTGGGATTTCCTCAGAGTCAGTGAAGGCAGCACAGCGGTGAGGAAGAGGAGGGAGGGAGCATGCCGAAGACGAACAGGAAGTTAGAGGCGGCAGGCAGGAAGCTGTGGACCCGTCCTGGCCCGGCCCGGTTCTGGGGCCACAGCTTGGTTTGCACAACGGCTCCCCTCCTCCACCTGTTGCTGTCAGTCAGCATTTAGTCCCAGACCAGTTAATTCACATCCAATCTGGATTTTAATCCATGAAATGAATTGATGTGGATTAAACTGGAGGTTAATCTGAAACATGATCTGGTCGACCAATCACATCCCAGCTACAATGACACTAAGGAGCAACATAATCAATCATAAAATACAACTTAAATATATTTTAATTAGAAATCAGATAATGAAAATATTTTCTAGAAATATTTAGTTATAAATTAAATCATGTTTTGGCCACCAGAGGGCAACACTTATTCTTAATTAATTTAGGATAATTTAGTAAAAAGCTGCTTATTTCTACATGAAACTAAATGATCATTTATTATTTTGTTTACAGTTTAGTTTTTTATTCTCCTTTTAGTCTCCAGACGTTCTGGAGTGACCGATGGGATCAGAGAGAGGAAGAGGAGGGAGGGACGAAGCAGGCAGGCAGTCAGACATCAATGTCAAGCGTTTCTCTGTGAGGGGTCAGAGGTCATGCAGGCTCTGTGGGCGACGCGTGTTAAAGTAGCACATGTTCTAAAGGGGGAGCTGCTGCTGAGTCTCAGGTAGGCATGCTGCTAAAGGCTAAGACGCTGCTAAAGGCTAAGACGCTGCTAAAGGCTAAGACGCTGCTAAAGGCTAATGGGCCGGACGGTGCTAACAACTAACGGCCTAACGGTTGCTAAGCTCTTGTCCCTTACTACGGATCAGAGGCCGGGTCAAAGGTTAACAAGCTTGAGATGACTAACAGACTAAGGACAGCTAACTGTTAGCGCTCCATAAGCTGTTAACAACTGGAGAATGAAAATGTTATCTAGTCTGATGTAGCTAACTGCTACATTAATGAACAGGAAGCTGGTAACGGCTACTAGGCTAGCAGTGGCTAACAATCTGTTAACAGTTAACGGGCTAGCGGTGGCTAACTATCTGTTAACGGGCTAGCGGTGGCTAACAATCTGTTAACAGTTAATGGCTAGCGGTGGCTAACTATCTGTTAACGGGCTAGCGGTGGCTAACAATCTGTTAACAGTTAATGGGCTAGCGGTGGCTAACAATCTGTTAACAGTTAATGGGCTAGCGGTGGCTAACAATCTGTTAATGGTTAACGGGCTAGCGGTGGCTAACAATCTGTTAACGGGCTAGCGGTGGCTAACAATCTGATAACGGGCTAGCGGTGGCTAACAATCTGTTAACAGTTAATGGGCTAGCGGTGGCTAACAATCTGTTAATGGTTAACGGGCTAGCGGTGGCTAACAATCTGTTAATGGTTAACGGGCTAGCGGTGGCTAACAATCTGTTAACGGGCTAGCGGTGGCTAACAATTTTTTAACAGTTAATGGGCTAGCGGTGGCTAACAATCTGTTAAGGGTTAACAGGCTAGCATTGGCTAACAATTTTTTAACAGTTAATGGGCTAGCGGTGGCTAACAATCTGTTAACAGTTAATGGGCTAGCGGTGGCTAACAATCTGTTAACAGTTAATGGGCTAGCGGTGGCTAACAATCTGTTAAGGGTTAACGGGCTAGCGGTGGCTAACAATCTGTTAACGCGCTAGCGGTGGCTAACAGCCAGAGGCTGCAGACTTTAGTCATTAGTAGGTAGAGAGATCAGGTGGCAGCAGCTCAAACACTTTAAATCCACATTTCTGGAGGCAGAGAGTCAAAGGTCATGCAGCAGGTAAAATGCTTCATGTTTCAAACATTTGATCATTTCTACTCTAAAGCCAGAAACATGGTTCATCAACACCAGGATCCTCTGGTTTCTTTCAGGAGGACTCACCCCTCGGTCTCTTGACTTGGCGTTGAACTTCACCGTCTTTAACCGCGCTCGCTCCTTCTTCTCCACTCTGCAAAAACCACAGAAGAAGAAGCTGAGTTGAGCAGGAAGCAAAACCGGCGGACCAAACCAAGCAGAGGATCATTCTGGTCCCATCTGGTCCCACTGGGTCTCCTGTTCACCTCTAACCCCTCTGACCCCAGCAGCAGCCGGGCCCTCCGTGGGACTGACCTCCTCTTGCTGGGGATCACTCCCACCTCCTCCTGCTCCCCCTGAGGCGTCAGGTGCCGGGCCTGCCACCACTCGTCGTCCGAGGCGTTCACCACATGCAGGATGTCTCCGAACTTGAAGTTGAGGCCCTGGCTGGGCAGACCCGAGTCCCGCGTCTTGTCGTACTCAAACAGAGCTCTGAGACGCCAGACAAACAGAGTGAATGAAGCAGGCTGGCCTCCGCTGACCTCCAGGTGAACCACCTCACCTGACGTAGAGAGACCTCTTCTGACTGGTCCGCAGCGACCCGGAGCCCGAGCTGATGCTGCTGTTCATCATCTGCTCCCGCAGGTCGTGGATCTTGGCCTCGAAGCGGCTGTACTCTGAGCAGAGGACACGGCGGGTCAGTGACGCCCAGGTGAGTCCATGAGGCCGTCCTCCCGCAGGTAGCCTCACCTTCTGGCCTGTAGTGGGCGACGATGGTCACCGTCTGGCCGGCGTTCTTCAGGGCGGCGGCGGCCTGCTCGTGCGTGGCGTTCCGGAGGTCAACGCCGTTCACCTGGAGGCGGGAACATCACCTGTTGCTCTGAACCAATCACAGCGCGGGACGATTTAATGGGCGGAGCTCCTACCGACACCAGGCGGTCTCCTTTCCTCAGCTCCCCGCTCAGGTCTGCCGACCGCCGGCCAGGATGAAGGAGATGAAGATGCCCTCGCCGTCTTCGCCGCCCACGATGTTGAAGCCCAGACCCGTCGCCCCGCGGTGCAGAACCACCTTCCGCGGCTCCCTGCGGTCACACAGCCGCTCGTCATGTGACCTCGGGTCATGTGACCTCGGGTCAAGCAGCCAATCCAGGAGCTCCAGCCGGTTGTCTGTGGTTGTGCTGAAATGATCCCCGCTGTGGGTACTGATGTATAATGAGCTGTGAACTTTGACCCCGATGGTTACTGGGGCTCAGCAGAACCACAGCAGTTTGTTGGAGCTCCTGGGCTGATAGTTGAATTATTTGTCATTTTTCTCATTCTGTACAGGTTCTAACTGAAACCTGAAGCGTTTTGTTCGTCCCAGCCGGATCTGGTTACTGAACTACATGTTAACCTCGCTGGTTCTGATCCAGAGGAAGTCTGGCTGCTGGAAGCAACAAACGTCAGGAAACCTAAACGATGTCCTCACCGTGTGACGTCATCTTCTCCCAGAATGCCCTTCGGCGTGGGCGAGTATCGCCCCGACGACGCCGGCGGGGGCAGGCTCTGGCCCAGGAAGTTGGGGGGGCTGATATGGTTCTCCACGTGCTGCGTGTAGGCTGGAACAGAACCGCAGAGACGAGCAGGTGAGTACAGGACCCCAGCTGGCCCCTCCCCCACCTGTTGGCTCCGGTTACCACCGGACGGAGACCGGAGCGTTGGGGGAGCCAATCAGCTCGCTTTGCTTGAAATAAACTCAAATGACCGAAAGTTTCCCAAATTCCCAAAGATTTTTCAGATTAAATATTTCCAGCATCACCAGGAATTAAAAACTCCAAACAGAAATAAAATCCCAATAAATCCAACATGTCTCCACTTTAAGAACTCGCTGATAGAAACTCAACTTAAAGTGAGTTTAGGTGTGGCATTTAGTTCTCATATAACTGTCAAAGCCCCAAATTTTAGAAACAAATACATCAAAGGGGAGGAGCCAAGATAGCCGGATGGGCGTGGCCAAGTCCGATTGGCTGAGTGGAGGGAGGCGGGGCTGAAGAGGAGCACCAAAACCCACTCCGAAACTTTTCAGACGCTCCAGAAGTTATCCTTTACAGCAACAGATTCAGCAAAATTCACTTTTGTTTTTTAAACTAATGACAAATCTGGCAACTTTTTTCTGTTACTAGAACATTTATGTCGCTCTGCAGACACTGTTTCCAGAGATTCCTGACAAAAAAGAGAAATGACTGAACTAAAGGTGCATTTGACATTTTGTGGCTTACTATCCTATCGTTCCACAGCGTCTGATCCACTCGATTGACCAGGGATGAGGCTTGTTAGCTGCAGTAGATCCCTCCTGATCTACTGCAGGAAATGAATCGTTTGAGGAACTGATTCATTTCCTGCTGAATGAATCTGTGACGGCAGCCTGCGTTCACCCCACCAGGTGAGACCAGGGGAGGTTCTGGCGGCTGCAACAGCAGCTGGACTCACAGTTGGTGAGGTCCGGCGGGGCGAAGCTGTCGTTCATGAAGACACTGTTGGGTTTTGCCACTTTCAAGTAGACAACATCAGGAGTGTTTTTCAAGGCAGTGACGGCGTGTTCATGGGTCACCTCCTCCAGACAGAGGCTGTTCACCTGGAAGAACAGAGAGGAACGTCAGAGGGCGGCCATGTTGGCCACCAGAGCGCCCAGCGGCCATGACGGCCACCAGAGCGCCCAGCGGCCATGTTGGCTCTGCGTTCAGGGACTCACGGCCAGCAGCTTGTCTCCGATCTGCAGCCTGCCGTCCTTCTGCGCGGCGCCGCCTTCGATGATCTTGGTGACGTAGATGCTGTTGTCTCCGGGGATGTGCTGGTTCCCGACGCCGCCCGCGATGCTGAAGCCCAAACCTTTGGGTCCTTTCACCAGCTTGAGCTCCATCACCTTCTCTGACAGCGGTTTCCTCCGCCGGATGTAGAGGCGCACCAGAGACCCCGCCTCCTTCAGCGCCTCCACGGCCCGGCTGTGGGTCACGTCCCGGACGTCCACCTCGTTCACCCGCAGGATGACGTCGTTCACCCTGAGACACACAGAGACATCAACAGGTAGCTCATCATCATCATCATCATCATCATCAGGGCCGGCCTTCCCTGACGTTGAACCAGAACCAAATAGTTTATGATCATCAATTATTGTCGTCTCATAAAATCCTGACCCATTTTATTCCCACCTTTAAAATATTTCATTAAATTTCTTAATTATTTTTTAAAATGAATTAAAGTCCTGGGAGAAACTTTATGGCTTCACCAGAATTCAATAAACTTTTCTTCAGTTTGATTTGGATCATGTTAACTGGAGTCAATATTTAATAAACACACATCAGAGATGAGCGTTTATCAGCAGAAGTTAAATATAAGCTAACGGCTACATGCTAACACTTTATGCTACCTTGGCTTTAGCTGCAGTTAGCCAGGCCGCCAACATGGCGCAGCGATGCTGATTGTTTTCTGAAACTTTTCATCACAAGATGTGGGCAGACCTGGGCGTTGCCATGGTTACAGCCATCTTTTTGAGCGTCTCGGTTAAACCGCGTCCTCACGACGCGCGCTGCTACCTGAGCCGTCCGTCCTGAGCGGCTGCTCCTCCAGGGATGACTTTGGTGATGAAGATGCTGGGGTCTTCGCCAATGTGGGGGTTATCGGTCCCTCCGGCGATGCTGAAGCCCAGCCCAGAGTTTCCCTGCATCAAAGCCACAAAACGTGCTCAGCTTCCATGTTTTGATGGTGATCACTGTTTGAGTCGGATCCAGAGTTCCTGAGGTCCTTACCCTCTCCAGCGTGATTTCCTCGTACTCGTATTCAGCCTCCGTCCCGTTCACCTGCAGACACAAACAGCAGGAAGGTGATGGGGAGAATCAGATTCACACGTTCACATCGACCTGGAGCTCAACATGTCCGAACATTTCTGATCTGATTTGATCGTATTTACATAATCTGACTGTAAAACGCTACAAGTCTGAATCTGTAGCTAGTTTACAGCAGCATGAGATCAACTGAGTCACTGTGGATATTAGCATTAGCATGCTAAATCTAGCAGTAGCATCTAGCTGGACACAAACTTAAAGGACAGAACAAGTAAATTATTCAAATCTGCGTCTCAATTTTAGATTGAAACTTTGAGGATTGACATGATTTGGTTCACTGCTGCATTTGGAAGTCTGCAATAAATCTGAAACTCAGTTGGTGATATTAGCATCAGGGAGCTAACACTAGCGTTAGCAGGCTAATATTAACCAAGGCTGCATTCCGGTTGGTTTGAGCTGACGGAGACTCACGTATGGCGGCGTGTCCAGGCTGTCGGTGTTGACCACCACGGGCGGCGGATTGGCCTGAGGAGAGAACCAACATCAGCACCACCAGAAACTCCACCCCGCCAACGCCAGGCAGACGCTCGCCACGCCTCTTCACGCTGCAGACGCTGCACTTGTGAAGCATGAAGGCTGGAATTAAAGGAACGGGACGCTGCGACGCGGACCGGTGGCCCGCTTCAAACCTCTCCTGATTGGCTGAAACCAGACAGGTTTCTGCAGCAGAAACCGAGCTAAACTCATCAAAACGAGGTGCATGGATGGATGGATGGATGGATGGATGGATGATGATGGTTGGATGCATGGGATGGATGGATGGATGGATGGATGGATGGATGGATGGATGGATGGGTGGATGGATGGGTGGATGGATGGGTGGATGGATGGATGGGTGGATGGATGGATGGATGGATGGATGGATGGATGGATGGATGGATGGATGGATGGATGGATGGATGGATGGGTGGATGGATGGATGGGTGGATGATGGATGGATGGATGGATGGGTGGGTGGATGGATGGATGGATGGATGGGTGGATGGATGGATGGATGGATGGATGGATGATGGATGATGATGGTTGGATGGATGAATGCATGGATGGATGGATGGATGGGTGGATGGATGGATGGATGATGATGGTTGGATGGATGGATGCATGGATGGATGGATGGATGGATGGATGGATGGATGGGTGGATGGATGGGTGGGTGGATGGATGGATGGATGGATGGATGGATGGATGGATGGATGGGTGGATGGATGGATGGATGGGTGGGTGGGTGGATGGATGGATGGATGATGGGTGGATCATCCATCCATCCATCCATGGATGCATGGATGGATGGATGGATGGATGGATGGATGGGTGGATGGATGATGGATGATGATGCAACCATCATCCATCCATCATCCACCCATCCATCCATCCATGGATGCATGGATGGATGGATGGGTGGATGGATGGATGATGGATGATGGATGGATGGATGGATGGATGGATGGATGGATGGATGGATGGATGGATGGATGGGTGGGTGGATGGATGGATGGATGATGGATGGATGGATGGGTGGATGATGGATGGATGGATGGGTGGATGATGGATGGATGAATGGATGGATGATGATGGATGGATGGGTGGGTGGATGGATGGATGATGGATGGATGGATGGATGATGATGATGATGGATGGATGGATGGATGGATGGATGCATGGATGGGTGGATGGATGGATGATGGATGGATGAATGGATGGATGATGATGGATGGATGGATGGATGGATGGGTGGGTGGATGGATGGATGATGGATGATGATGGATGGATGATGATGGATGGATGGATGATGATGGATGGATGAAGCACAGAGACAGAAACAAAAGCGAGGGAAATAAAAAATTAAACCTGTGACGCTGCGGGGATGGTGGAGGTCTCGGCTGGGATTGGAGCGATGGGGATCACAGGGATTATAGAAGAGCAGGGCGGGGCGGCCTCGGCCTGCTGGTGAGGGTCAAAGGTCAGACAAACACAGATGGAGAGCAGGAGGATGGAGTAGAACTGAACTGAAAACAGCTGGAAGTATCAGAGGAATCAACCAATCAGAGGAGGAGTTCCAGAAACTCGTCTGCTGCTCTGAGGATCACCGCCATGCTGCGTGTGTGTTTTGGTGTGTGTGTTGCAGGAACTGCCTCAGCAAATCTAGATGCTCACAAGGTCAAAAGGTCAATGGAACGCCAGAAACCGTAACAACTGGACCAGAACCAGCAACAGAATCTGAGCCACTTTGGTTCTAGAACCTGATCAGTCTGGTCACAACCAGAGAAACATGAGAGCAGACGAACATCATGAATATTAATATGACGGGTCAGAACCGGCAGATGGTCTGACCCGTTTAGTCAGAACCATCTGACCCATTTAGAGTCTTATTCTACTTTCTGTTTTAATCTTATTTCTGAAACTAAAAATCATTCAATGATGTGAATCAGAAGCCGAAGGTCCAAATTTATGCTGTTCAGGTTCAACAAGTGATTCAGCAGAACATGAAGGTCCTCCTTCCTTCCAGCTCTAAACGGACAGAAAACTGAAAAACTAAATCCCAGTTTTCCCTTCAGGATGTTGAACTTCCTGCTGAGCTTCCAGACGTCGGGACGCAGCGAGCCGCGCGGCGCCTCCATCATCGTTACGCAACAGTAAAACCTGACGCAGCAGCTGATGGAAAAACCAGCCGCCGCTAAATTTAGCCGGAACATCGACGGCATTGATCCGGAGCCCTACTTCTGGAACGCCACGGAGCGACGCGCTCCACCGCGGCGCCACGGCCAGGAGAGTGAGCGCTCCTGAAACAGAGAGGATCTCTGTGCTGCAGGGACTGCTGGGAAAGTAAAAACACAAAACCACAGAAAACTCTAAAAACCAAAGAGTGGATCAGACTGAGCAGAAACCATGAATAACTAGTTAGGAAAGCAATCGGTGACTGTAGAAAGGAAAACATCACACTGCAGTCTGACTCGACCGCAGCGCTGATCCAACAGAACCTTGTCAGTCCGGTCCAGAGCTCTGGGACTGAGGCCCGGTGGATCCGGCTGCGCTACCTTGCTGAAGGCGAACGGCGTCCAGCGGACCTCCCCTGCGGCTGTCGGCCATCTTGGCCGTGCTCTTGGCCGGTCTTCTTCACGCTGTCGCGCAGGTTCAGGAAGCGGCTGCGGGCGCGGCAGGAAGCCGGGACTGTGCAGGAGGTGAAGGTGGACAGCGACGCCTGGAGCGGCGGCCGGTTCTGGAGCGGCGGCCGGTTCTGGAGCGGCGGCCGGTTCAGGTTCTGCCTGTGCAGCTCGATGGCGTGCTGCCGCTGCCAGCGGGTGCAGGTGGGCGAGGTACTCCTGGAGAGCCGGGTCCAGCGGGCGCCGCTCCGCCTGCAGGCAGCGGCTGGCGCATCTGATGCGCCGTCATCCTCCTCGGCCGGTTCCTTCAGAACCGGGTCGGAGCGTCTGATCCGGGCCGTCCAGAACCCGTTCTGAGCCGACCTTCCTCGTCTCTCTGCAGCCAGTTAATCAGCAGCGGTGGGGGAGGGCAGCATGAATAATCGATGCGACCCCCTGGGTTCAACAGCAGGATGATGCAGACAGGAAGCTGCAGCCGCTCAGAGCATAGCCCGGTCTGGTTCTGATCCGCCTGGGTCGGGTTCCAGGATCAGAACCTTTCCAACAAAAGCAAAAAAAAAACCCAAAAACAAAACAAACAAACTGCTATCTGGTACTATCAGAACCTTCTGGACTGAAGGAAATCCGTCCTGGCATCAGAACCGGGTCATTGGGTCGAGCTGAACCCGGTTCCAGAATGCCTCATCTAACTTGGTTCTGAAGGTCCACATAAACCGGGTCAAACAGAACCTTTACTGTTCCTGAACGTCTGGTCCGGTGAGGCTGCAGCGCCGCCTGCTGGCAGGTCCGACTCACTGAGCCCAGAACCAGAACACAGCTCCAGTTCTGGTTCCATCTGGTGGACCGGGCCGGATCTGGAAACTCCAGATTCTTATGCATCTGAAGAGAAACCGTCCGGTTCTGACCCAGAAGAAACTGGCTCCAGAACTGAAAAACACTCCAGAACCTCCTATATGAAGGTGAACCGGGCCTGTGACCAGAACCATGGTCCAGTGTTCAGAACCCAGCTGACTGGTTTCAGACCCGGTTATGAATTCTGCTCAGATGGTCCGATGGCTCGGAACCGACCGGCAGATCTAGTAAGAACCAGAACCAGAAACTGGACACGACCTGGTTCTGAAACACAGAGTCAGACCAAACTCCAAGTACAGAACCGTGAGCTCTGAGTTCTGAGAATCGGATCTCCAGATGACGGGTCAGAACCGGCTGATGGTTCTGAGGAGTGTCGACCCGTTTGGAGCCATCTTGTGAAAGAAAAGCAGTAGAACCTCTCTGCTCTGACCCGGTTCTGACCCAGACACGGCCAGGTGAACAGAACCAGACCAGGAGCCGGCTCTGGTCCTGGATGCTGCCCGACCCGGATCAGTTCTGGCCCGACCCGAACCCAAAGATCCAGAACGTTCTGCAGCGGACAGAACCGGACCGGATCCTGGCTCAGAACCGGACCGGATCCTGGCTCAGAACCGGACCGGATCGTGACGCAGCAGGGGGCAGGAACCTACCAGCAGCGGCGGTGCAGCCGCTTCGTCCTCCTCAGGGTCCCCATGATGCGGCGGCCCACCTTCTTGGCGAACCACGCCGAGTTTAGCATGCTGCCGCGGCGTGACGCGGAGCGGCGCGGCGCCTCCTGCTGCGGCGGGCTGCGGGGCGGCAGCGCTGCTGCTGGCGGGACAGCAGTCGATAGGAGGCGGCCTGAGCTCCACCCGGCGCCACCTCCTTCCTCCTTCCTGACACAAACAGGGAGGCTGAGAAGGCGAGCGGAAGCTGCGGCGGCGGCTTCAGGAGGCGCGGCGGAGCGGCGGAGGCGTCCTCCCGCCGGCGGCGGTCATGGCTCTGCAGCGGCTCCTCCGTCTGTCTGAGGCGCAACAACAAACTGCAGGACTGACGGAGGACGTGCAGCGAGCGGCGCCTGAGATCCCTCTGCAGTCTGACAGCATCACCCTCCTCCTCCTCCTCCTCATCCTCCTTCTGTTCCTCCTCCTCCTCCTCCTATTGCTACTCCTCTTCCTCCTCCTGCTGCTCTTCCTCCTCCTCCTCCTCCTCTCAGAGGAGGGCCAATCAGAACTTTTCCGAAGGACAGAAAAAAGGAAACCGGTTTGACGGGAATCTGGGTCCGGAGAATCGCTGAATCATCAGATGAGCTGGGTCAGAACCGGACCGGTTCTGAACTGTTGCAGCTTCTTGCTGCTCACAGAGGAGCTGCTGGTCTCACCACGTTAATGAACTTTGAACCCGCGGATGGTCGGAGGTCAGCTTGGTCGGATCATTCGGTTCGCATCAGAACCGAGCCGGGAACCGAAAGCCGCGCAGAAAAGCGAAGTGGCGCCATCTTGGATTTAACCTTCATTTTACCAGAATAAAAACCTCAATCAGTCCTGGCCAAGAACCGAACCAGGCCGGGTCAGAACCACTCTGGGTCAGAACCAGGCCGGGTCAGAACCACTCTGGGTCAGAACCACTCAGGCTGGTTCAGAACCACTCAGGCTGGGTCAGAACCACTCAGGCTGGGTCAGAACCACTCTGGGTCAGAACCAGGTATGGAGAATGGACCATCATCACAGTTTAGAGGTCAGTAGTCCTCTGGAGGGCCACCAGGGGAGCTATGAGAGCCTCGGGATGTTGGAGAGAAGATGATCTGATTTTGTTTTAATTATAAAATCTGATCTGTTTTTCAATCAATATAAATATGTTTAAAAGTCGTTCTAATAACTGAACTGTATTTTTGATGTCATAATCTTGAACAGTGTATTTATAAAATGTCGTTTATATATTTATATATTTCCCTTTTCAAAGTTTCTGTGGAAACAAACTGCTTTGTAAACAGCCGTGTTCCACTTCAAAATAAGAGCATGAATATAAACATCTAACTACTTGAAGAATTACAGTAATGGGCTCTTTGCACCTGAGCTTCTGCGTTCGGGAAAAACGGCTCAAATGTTTCCCATCTATTGAAAACGGTACTTTACACCAGGTACCTGCACGGCTTTTCCAAGGTAATAATTAATAATGTACATCGATCTGAAGCCCCGACAAGTAAGTCGGAGAAAGGTTTTAAGATGTTCGCCTCATTATACATTCACAGATACAAAGGTGAGTTTTACTTTCTTTAAACTTTGTGGCTAACATTAGCTTTAGCTTATGCTAGTAGGCAATATTCTCGGACATTTTTCTTGTAAAAATCTGCTATTTAAGTATCTAAACATTTCTCATCCAATCTATCAGACAATGTTTGTGCCTTATTTTCAAGAATATTACATGTATTTATTGTTTACGACAATAAACGCTGGGGGGAGGAGGGAGATTACGGTTCAGGCTTTTTGCTTCCAGCCTGACGAAGCACAACGAGCCCAGGCTCATTACGGCGGTGTGTACGGCGGCGTGTACGGGTACAGGCGGATCAGTGGCTCGGCTGTCCGGCTCTGCTGTCTCGTTCCCAAACACTCGCTCTTTCAGGCTGAATACAGAAGCGATTTAATGTTAATAACACAGGACGGCTCCTTTACTGTCGTCTTTAGGCTGAAGAAGCTGATCCGGAGTGAAGTGAAGGCTGCAAACTTTGTTGTGCGGCGTTAGCTTTAGCTGGTAGCTTTAACTGGTAGCGATGAATATTTATAAGCCGTCTTAATTCAGGATCGCTTGGAAATCCATAAAAACTTAAAGTACATAGTATTGTTTTATTTGTGTCTTAAGTATGAGTTTGACTTTTATAGCAGTCATAGTAACTGAAAGCGGAAAAAAGAGCCGCATTTGGGCATGCAGTTGTCGTCAGCGCGGCAGGTGCAAAGAGCCCATTAGCCTGAATGTTAAACTGCATTCAGCTGAAAGGTTTATCCAGAGAAATGTATTTAAGGGAAGCTAAGTGCGGTGGCTAAGGTTAGCTCTGCTATTAGCATATTAGCAGAACAATGATGATGAGAATAGGTTTGATAGCTAAAGAGTCAGAACACAGGACCTGAGATGATCAGATTTAATTATTCCTACATGATTCCAAACGTTTCCAAATGACATCCTGACATTCCAGGTGAGCTTCAACATCATTTCCTGTCCAGTCTGAGGTCAACATCCCATCCAGAACCGCTGGTTCCGGTCCGGGTCAGAGCCATGGTCCAATCAAAGAGCTTTCAGGAAACCCGGATTTTAAATCGACCCAGTGAGGAAACATCAAGGAAAACGATTCTGGACCCGACTGAAAGAACGTTCAGGAACACACGGTTCTGGTCGGACCCGGTTCTATTTCTAAACCTGTTCTGCTTGGATTTTATGTTAATGGGCAGCAAAGGGGGTTGGGGGTATCACCTGTATCAGTGGGGGCAGGGGGAGTTACCTGTATAGGGGGAGTTACCTGTATAGGGGGGTAGGGGTTGGACGAGCAGGAGGGGAGGGGGCTGTCCTCTCCGTGGGTAGAGGGTGGAGGGCGTGGGGGAGGGAGCTCCGGGGGGAAGAGTCCTAACGACGAGGAGCCGTCCAGGAGGAACTCCAGAGACGCTACCTGGAGGACAACAGGGGGGGAGGGCAACAGCTGAGACTGGACCGGTTCTGGACCTCCTCCAGGAGAACCAGACAGAACCAAACAGATCCTTCTCTGCCAGCTGGGTTTCCTCGTGCACAGACCCAAACCCTGGGTTCTGAACCGGCAGGGTCCACTAAGGAGAACACCCCGGTTCTGGACCGGGTTCTGGACCAGGGGGAGGCAGTCTGGGAATGTTTCAGGAACCTCTGAGCTTCTGGGCCCTGAACACGGCCAGAACTTTAACAGGAGGTCCGATTTGTCCCAGAGGACATGATGATCTCAGCATGGAGGCTTCAGCTACAACCACTGGGGGGCGCCAGAGGACAAGCTAGTGATCAGAACCAGAATATGGTTTGGGTCTGTGCACCTGAAGAAAGCGGGTCGCTGTCAGGAGGAACAGGAAGTTCAGAAACAGAAACCACAGAAGAAGAGTGAGACACATGGAGGGACAGAGAGCAGCTGACAGGACTAGACTGGACCAGACCGGACCACTGAGCAATGAGGTTCTGAAACGAGTCACATCATAAGAAGCGCAGCATGCTGACGGTTCTGGTCCGATCCAGAAGGCAGACCGGTACCAGCCAGGTTGGTTTTTAATGATGTGACGATACAGATGGGACCGGAGACACTGAGCAGACGAGACATGATCAGAACCCAATACAGCAAACAGAACCATCAGAACCGTCTCAGCTGGGTCTCGTTCTGAGTCCGATCAAACCCAGATGGATCAGAGCTTCAGAACCAGAAACACATCAGGGTCCAACAGGACCAGCCATCACCGCTGCTCCCCGAATAGGAAGTGACCCTGAGTCCTGTCTAAACTCCCTCAGACTGAAACATGAAGCAGCAGAACATTATGTCCAGGTCAGAGGTCAGAGGTCGCGCTGCGGTATTCCAGCTTCCCAGCAGGAAGCAACGACTTGACTCACCAGATCCTCAAGATGAACCATTTTCTGATGCCTGCTCTGGATTTATGGATTTTATGGATATATTCTGATCTAGTGACGTTTCATTTCCAGACGACATTAAACCAAAGTCACTCTGGTTACAGATGTCCAAAGTAGGATGACCTGGACTACACCTGGATGAACTGGACTATATCTGGATGAACTGGTCTACACCTGGATGAACTGGACTACACCTGGATGACATGGACTACACCTGGACTACACCTGGATGAACTGGACTATATCTGGATGAACTGGACTACCCTGGACCACACCTGGACTACACCTGGATGAACTGGACTATATCTGGATGAACTGGACTACCCTGGACCACACCTGGACTACACCTGGATGAACTGGACTATATCTGGATGAACTGGACTACCCTGGACCACACCTGGACTACACCTGGACTACACCTGGATGAACTGGACTATATCTGGATGAACTGGACTATATCTGGATGAACTGGACTACACCTGGATGAACTGGACTATATCTGGATGAACTGGACTACACCTGGACTACACCTGGATGAACTGGCAGCAGAGACAGAAACATCCTCCATCCTCCTCTGATTGGGTGATGGCTAAGCCCTCAGTTGCAGTCAGGAGGTCAGAGGTCACTGGAGGAGCTCCAGCTGATGAAGGTCAGGGGGCAACAGGAACATGAACAGGTAAACACATCCAGCATGAGCAACGGATGGACAGAGAGACAGGAAGAAAAGAAACTCCTGATCTGAACCTGCAGGCCTCATGGTTAAGGATCCGGATCCAAATAGATCATAACTGGCTCTCAAACTAAAGTGGATCAAGTCTGGATTTGGATCCAGATTTGGATCCAAATCTGCATCTCAGAGAGCTGCTGTTATGAGCCCTGTAGACCAGAGAATCGGGATCTGGATCAGATCGGGATCCGGATCAGATCGGGATCCGGATCAGCTTTAGCACAGATTAAGTATTAGGCTCCGCCCCCTACCTTCATAGGTGAGATGTGGGCGTGCGTGACATATCCGTGGACGTTCTCGATCTGATTGAGGTTCTTCTCGGCGACCTGGACCAGCTCTGGCCCGGCCCCCTCCTCCGTGAGGGGTGGGGGGCTCTGGTCCTGGGGGGACGAGTCCTCATCGTGGTGCCGGTACTTCTGGGGAGGACAGGAAGGAAAGCGGGTCAGTGAGCCCCAAGTTCTGACTGTCAGGCTTCAGCAGAACCTGCAGCAACCAGAACTGGCCGCAATCAAGATGAACTGAACCCGAACCGCTCGGTTCTGACAACCAAAAGATGGGATGAATGGAACTGATCCGTTTAAAGTCAGGGGAATATCTATGCTAACTGGTTGGTTCTGACAGAACCAAACAGAACTGGCAACACGGTGACGGGATGAACCAGCATCCAGGAGACTGGTTAAACTGGACCAGTTCACCTCTGACCCAAACGGTTCCAATTCGACTGAACACTATTGATTTAAGATAGATATCTTTATAGATCAATAATCCTCAGAGGAAGATGAAGCAGCTGGAGCATGAAGAAACAGAAACACTCAGTATTAAATGAGATTTAAGAGAAAAATTATTGGTAACACTTTATTGGATAGGTTGTGAATAAACCTGTCATGAAGCACCATAAACATGTCAAAACACCATCATAACATCGTCATAAACATGTCATAACACCGCCATCAACATGTCATAACACCGTCATCAACACGTCATAACACCGTCATCAACATGTCATGACACCATCATCAACATGTCATGACACCATCATCAACATGTCATGACACCATCATCAACATGTCATGACACCATCATCAACATGTCATGACACCATCAACATGTCATGACACCATCATCAACATGTCATGACACCATCATCAACATGTCATGACACCATCATCAACATGTCATAACACCGTCATCAACATGTCATAACACCATCATCAACATGTCATAACACCGTCATCAACATGTCATAACACCGTCATCAACATGTCATAACACCGTCATCAACATCGTCATAAACATGTCATAACACCGTCATCAACATGTCATAACACCATCATCAACATGTCATAACACCGTCATCAACATGTCATAACACCGTCATCAACATGTCATAACACCGTCATCAACATCGTCATAAACATGTCATGACACCGTCATCAACATGTCATAACACCATCATCAACATGTCATAACACCGTCATCAACATGTCATGACACGGTCATGAAGATGAGTTATGTCTTCATAAATATTTTTGACTGTTTTCAAAGTGTCATTCGGTAAATCATGACACTTTTAATACAAAGTTGACTTTATTCAAAATGTCTGACATCTTGACATTAACCAAGAAATCATGATCTGACAAATTTGTAATAAAAGTATTACAGATTAAACTTTAAAAATTATGTAAATTTATCTGTAATATTACATTGCTCTGCCATTTTGTCTAGTCTTAAATTTCTTAATTTAATTGATCCTAAAGTTTCACAGCAAGATGTTAACCAGTAACTTATGAACTTGAATTTGAAACATTATTTGAGGCTGTTTTTGGTGCAGTACACCATTTCCACCAGTGAGAGGCAGCAGTGCACGAACAGGCGTGCAGTGTGCTGGTGAAGAAGAACTCAAGTTATAACGGCCAGACCTTCTGTTTAAAGAGAAGCAGAAGTTTGAGACCTAATACATATGAGGTATGTGTCTTATTAACTTTACATTTTCTTTGAGAGAATAACATTAACTATGTTCCTTCTTTTTAATGTTAATTATAAGCAATTCAAGCCAATTGCTACCTGCTGCCCACTATGAGAAAGTCCAGAAGAGATTCACCCAGTTTGAATTCATGAAAAGCCTTTTCCCCAAGATCAACACTGACCACCACCATCTCAACAACAGCTACAATTTCTGAGCCTTTCCAGCACTTTACAGACCTGCTTCCTGGACATGGAGACAAGAAGATGATTCTCTCTGCTAAATTAACTGAATAGATCATTTATTTAAATGATCCAGACATCATTTAAATAAATGAGGTGAACAGGTCAGGTGAACCTCTTCATTGACAGTCAGCAGGTCAGTGAACGCCTCACAGAAAACCCGACAGTCAGCAGGTCAGTGAACGCCTCACAGAAAACCCGACAGTCAGCAGGTCAGTGAACGCCTCACAGAAAACCCGACAGTCAGCAGGTCTGTGAAAGCAGCGCAGGGAGAACTGGGTTCTTGGTGGAACCAAGCAGAACTAATGGAGTAGTGGGAGATCCAGGCTCTGACACACACCTCCTTCTCTTCCTCCTCTTCCTCGCTGCTATAAATAGGAGCAGCAGAGAAACGAGGAAGAGGAGGAGGAAGACGAAGCTGACCGGAACAGAACCAGCAGAACCCTCTGGTATCTGGGTTCAGTTCTGTTGCTCTGAGCCGGAGCAGAACCTCCATGTTGGTACCAACCATTACCAGCAGAACTCCACATCCCAGGCAAGGTTCTGGACTTTGACTAAACCACTGAAGAACTGCAACTCTGGTTCTTTTCTTTTCCAGTCAGTCTGTTCTGGTTCTGCTGATGACCCGGTGTGGACCCAACTTCCCGGCCCACAGCATGAACCCTCCACCACTGTGACGGACAGCCGGGGAGCTTCATCTGAACTGGGTTCTGGTTCTGGTCCCATTGGTCCCAGAGCTCTGGAGCTTCATCCAGTCTGGCGGCCATCTTGTTTCTAGAGAACAGGTTTTGTCCTTCAACCCTTGAAAGCAGCCATGCAGACTCAGAATTCTGACCTTTGACCCCTGGCAGTCAGAGATGGAGCTCAGGTCTCTGCAGCAACGATCCGTGAAGCGCCCGCCCCAGTCGATCTGGCTGATCAATCAGGCTAATTAAGAGGAGTGGAGCCTTTACTACCAATCTGCAGTCAGAACCAAGCTGAGAGCCATCGGGTCGGTTCTGCTGCTGAACAGAACCAGGTCCAACCAGAGAACCTCCACACAGGATTCAACATTTTATTCCTTGCTGACCTCTGAACTCTTGAAGTATTAAAGGTCACCTATTTCCTTGCTCCAACAGGTTAGCATAGATCTATGGGCTACAGAATGTGTTCAGTTCATCAGATTTTATTCTGCCTGTTGATCTTTCAGGAAGACGTCTTAGAGTCGCTGTCTCTTTAAATCCAAATGAGCTGCTGCTGCTGGCCACGCCTCCCATCTCATCGCAAACAGATGTGCAACGATGCAACTGTGTATCCTTGAAAAGCAGAACTGGAGCCTCCTGCACAATCAACCAGAATGCAGCAAGTGGTTTCTGGATGGTAAGTCAGTAACAGAACTCCTGTCTTTTCCAGCAGCCATTGCGCAGCTCTGCTGTTGCTGGTGACGGCCTGGGCTTCGCTGAACCGACTGATGTTGTTCAGAACTTTTGTTTCTTGTCTCAATCTGGAACAGAAACTGAAACCAGGAAACAGAGGGCTGCAGATCAGCTGGTGTGATTTGTTTAGATGATGACATGATAATTTAATATCACAACGTTTATCACAATACAGATTTATTTCAGTTTAATTCATTAATCTGATCAATATGATCACATATCAATTCATATCAAAACCAAAGGACAGAATTTTACTGATTTATTCCTGAGCTCTTACAGGAATGAAATAAAAAGTTCAACATTTCTAACGTGATCGGGCTGTTAATCATTTAATCATCACCTACAGCTGACCTGAGGTCACAGGTCATCCAGTCTCCAACAGAACCAGAACATCATCCTGATTTCATGTTGTTTTGATTTCTGCGAGACGGATCGTTCACAAAGCATCATGGGTAATGAAGCTCCTCCAGGACTCTGTTGTTGTTTCCTGTGGAGCACATGGACCTCACACATGCACCGCCACGCCTGCCGTCGTCGGCCAATCACAGTGTGGCCCTGCAGCCCAGCTGGCCTCTGATTGGTCGGCTCACAAAGGGAGAAGCGACAGGCAGCTTCACTGGCCAATCAGGAGACGGCAGGTTTAAATACGAGGTTTTATTCCCTGAGCTGAGTCTGACAGGTGCAGGACAGGAAGCAGGTCGGGAATCTGTAGGATGTTCCGGGTCGGAGGTTCTGCTGAGGCCCGGATCGCCGTGGCGCCGCGTTCCGTTACATAACAACAACAGAACCGGGTCAGCATCAGAACACGCTGTTCCACATCGCTTCTGTTATGAAGGAGGAGCGTCTCCAGAAAACAAGCATCGACCCGGGCTCAGGTCAAAGGTCACTGGCCCGTTTAGGGTCCAGTTCACTGATTTATTCCAGCTGTTCCCAAAACCAACTGACTGGATGGAGGAGGTTCTCCTGCAGATCCGGGCCCTGGTCCAGAACCGCCAGCAGAACCGGTCCGGTTCTGGCTCTGGATGTCCTGCAAGACGAGTCTGGATGAGGAACAGAACCCAACCGGACCGGACCGCAGCTGGTTGTCCGGTCCAGATCCAGGAAAAACAGAACCAGAACCTTTAGGATCCTGGAAACATCCAGAGAAGTCTGAGGGGTGCCAAGTTCTCCAGAACCGGACCTGCTGGGCCCTCTGGACTGAGACCCGGTTTATAACTGTTACTCATAGACAGAACCAGGACAGAACCAAACCTGACCAAGACCCGGACCCAAACCGCACCCAGAACCAAATGACTGTGACCAAGCAGGACCTGGAACAAACAGGACTCTGATCCAGAACCGAACGTGGACACACCGGACCGGGCCGTGTCCAGACCGGCCGTGTCCGGACCGGACCGGGCCGTGTCTGGACCGGACCGGACCGGGCGGTGTCCAGACCGGACGGGCGGTGTCCAGACCGGGCCAGGCCGTGTCCAGACCGGCCGTGTCCAGACCGGCCGTGTCCTGACCCACCTTGCAGCCGAACATGAGGGAGATGGTGCTGCTGCTGCAGGCCACCTTGCAGTGGCAGAGCATCGGGGAGAAGCACTCTCCCCTGCCGGACCCGGGGGACTCGGCGCCGGGACATCGGGCCGCCAGCCGGCTCCTTCTGGAGCGCCGCCGGCTCCTCGCGCGCCGCCGGCCGCTGCCGTTGCTGCTGCCGCCGGCCGAGCTCCCCCCCCCCCCTTCCTCCTGCCTCTCCTCCTCCTCCTCCGCTGCTGCTGCTGCTGCTGCTGCTCCCTGCTCTCACCATCCGC